TGACCCCTGCGACTGTCAAATCCGCCGATTTCCGCGGATACGCCGAAAAATCTCATCCCGGAGTCAGTATGTATGCGCGTGTGCGTGTGCATGTGCGTGTATGTGTTTGCGCGCCCGTGTGTGTGTAAATGTGGTATTGTGTGCGTGGGTACGCGTGTGATTGTGCGTGCGCATGGCCGTATGTGTGTGAATGCGGTGTGTGCGTGCGTGCGTGCGGTTAGTGTGGCTTGCTATGCTAGGTGAAGGCTCCACCTAATTAAATGCTTATTATTATACCTTTAATCTACATTTAGTATAGCTATATTATCATTAAAACCCGTGAGAAAACACATTAATAGTTTAACACAATTTCAAAAGGTTATGGTATATTATAGACTTATAGTGTGGTATGTGTGTGCTCTTAGACAATCGAAACGGCGTCTAAAAATGTCAGAGCATTGGGAGCCGGGTAAGCACACACGCGCGCACGCACGCACACACCGCATTCACACACATACGGCCATGCGCACGCACAATCACACGCGTACCCACGCACACACATACCACATTTACACACAAACGGGCGCGCACACACATACACGCACACGCACACGCACACACACGCACACGCATACATACTGACTCGGGGATAAGATTTTTCCGCGGATCCGCGGAAATCGGCGGATTTGACAGTCGCAGGGGTCAATTTTGTGAAACGTGAAGAAAATTCGTTGAGAAAATTGGAGGGGGGTAAGAATGTAAAAATTGAAATTATACATTGAACAGTACCTGACAGTAGACTGACAGCAAAGTCAACAGCGGGTGTTACAGATAGCCAGCGTGTACCGCGCCACAAGGTGATTCACGTACTCTGCTTGGACTGCGCATGCGGATTTTTGCGATCTTAAAAGTTGGTGCGGGTTTCCGATGAAGGCCGAAGTTTCTTCGGGCACATAACCTTTTAGAAAATTGCTTCCAAAGGTCACTTTACGATGGCAAAATCGCGTTCTAACGTAGCGGAATGTATTCGCGACGCCTAGACGTGGCACGGTTTCGGAAGAGATACGGAAAACGACACTTCTGCTCTTTCTACAGTTATATAGTAGATACTATATAGCAACACTAAAACAGCCAGATCGGATATTACCATGCACACGTGCTACAGGCTTGCCCCTCTCCAGTTTGAACGTATGAGATCGGCAGAAGAAAATTATTCTCGTTGTCCAGGACGACGAATTACGTGAGCGCCATTTTATGTACATTAGCATAGGCAGGGAATCGTGGCGGGATGCTGCGAGAAAAGTAAATTTTGTAAATCAGATTTTACCATGCACACGTGCCATGGGCCCCCCTGCCCAGTTTGATCGTATGAGGTCGGCTGAAGCTAATGTACATAGAAATGGCGCTCAGGTCGTTCGTCGCGCTGAACAGCGAGGATATATTTCTTCGGCGGATATCATACGCTCAAACTGGACAGGGCCTGCCCGCGGCATGTTGTGACGATGGTTACATCCGATTTACACGATACACACTTGCTCGTAGCCGATTGTCGCGCACGATTCCTTTATAACCCCAACTATACAACACAGACAGACATGGCGGCTCCATTGATTATAATTCAAGATTGCTAGTTGACAGAAAAAGCAGCTAGAAGATACATGCAAAGCCAGCGATACGGTAGTGTGACTATAGGCACTTCCCCTTCGCCATTTTATTCGGATTTCTGTACCGAGGCCTGAAGCTTTTATCCGTGACCGTAGCGAAGCGCAAACTATTAACATAAGACAAGA